GGGGGGGGGGGGAACATTATAATAAAAAAATAAAAGCTCGATTCACAAGCAGAACCCTGCTGGCCCTCACCCCTTCCCACCCTCACCCCAGGGGCAGCCCCAGGTCAAGTCCTGCTTGCAGCCTTCTGATTCTACACACGAGGGAGCAGAGACCTCCAAGCATCAGGGGACTGTGCGGGGCCGCAGTGCCCCACAGAGCGAGTCAAGGGTTACCTCACGAGCCGGAGCGAGTCCTTTCGGATGTTCACCAGGCTCCTCAGCGTCTTCACCGGCTCATGGGGGGCGGGGGTGACATAAGGAAACTAGAAGGGAAAGACCCAAAGCAACGTCAGGTGACTCCCCAGGGCGCGGCAGGGGCCAGAAGACAGGGATAACTGGAGCAAGGGTCACAACCCACCTGTCCTCTAGGGCCCTCATGCCAACCAGAGGACGGCATTATCCTTGTTCGCATGAAGGAAAACAAAGCCAACAAGGTGGGCACGTGGGGAGCCGGGACCAGAATCACCCTGAAGGACCCAGCCACATGGCCATGGCCCCCAATTCCAGGAACGACCCCCAGCAAGTGCGACCTGACCCTAGGGACCCAGGGGCAGCGGTTAGGGTTGGGGCTCCCAGGCCGCGTTCCCGGAGGTGGGACCTGACGTCCCACTGCTGCCCTCAACAAGGCAGGCTTTCCATACAAGGACGATAGTCCATAAAGGTTCCAGAAGGGACACGCGCACACAGGTGAGTGCTGTAAACTGGCGGCCTCAGGAGAACGTGGGTGCATCAGCGTCAGCTTCCTGCTGGTGACAGCGCAGGAGTTTTACAAGACGCTGTCACGGGGGAAACCAGCTGAAGGGCATGCAGGCTCTCGCTGTAGCAGTTCTTACAACTGCAGATGAATCTACCAGGGTCTCAAAGTAAAAGTTAAAAAAAGAAACAGATTTACAGGAGGCCTGTATGAGCCAGGCCCTGGGCCGGAGGGTGAAGTTCTGTTCTCGCTCTCGTGGACCCGGGAGGGTGCGGCAGGCTCAGCACAATGTGGAAGCCCCAAGCGTCCCGCTGGTGGGGGACACTGCAGTCTGGGCCCCAGCCCCTCGCCTTCCATCCGTTAAAGGATCAAGACTGTGTCAATCAGCTGTTCCACGGCTAAAACAGCCTGGAGTCCCCTGGTCCAGAGGACTCCCCACCCTGCCAGGGGACAGGGACACCCCAGGACTCAGCAGCCTTGGGGACGGAGTCCAGTGTCTCCTGAGAGAGAGAGCCTCCCGGCTGACCCCACACCCACACTGGGGACCATCATTTCAAAGTACAAAACCCAATTCCCTGCTCAGCGTGCCCCCACATGGGCCCTCGCCCGTCTCCCTCTCGCTTTTCAGTCCCCATTCATCAAATGTTCTCTTCTTTATTGTCTGCACCCCCCACAACGGACGGGGCGGGATATGTCCTCTGCCCCGCGCCCCCCAGACTAGAAGAGCCCCAGGCACACAGCAGGTGCCAAATGTGCTCAGAATGAATAAACAGCGGATGCTCCTCCGGTGACTAGTGAAGATGAGCTTCTGACAATGTCCACTGGCCACGTGCATCTCTCCCCTGGATCACGGCTCTTGCCCAGTGTTCTATAGAAAGTGAGTGTTCTTTTTTCTTTTTAAAGACAGCCATCCAAGAGGCCTGGGATCAGATCTATAACCCTCGGCAGCCCCATAGCCTGGAGCCACTGGGTTCAGTAGCAGCTGCCTTGTCCCTCAGCGATTCACCCTCAGCTGTCCAGCCTTTAAAGGGGCAGCGCCAGGATAGGCCTCAGTCCACGTCACATGTACACACCCATCGGGCAAGCTCTGCCCCGTTTGGGGTGACGTGGCCCCTGCTCGTCCTCACAGCTGAGACACAGACGGCTGAGGGCAGGGGCCTCACCCCACGCCCCCATGCTCAGCCCTGAGACCCACCTGGACTGGGCGATTGCCCAGGAAGTTCAGATCCATGTTCTCTCCAAACAGGTAACCTTCAGGGTGCGGGGTGTCGAATTTCTCACCTCCCATGAAAAAGTGCGAGGCAAAGTAGTTTCCTGCGTAAAAATGGAAACACAGTTGTAGATGATGAGCTCCACAGGGCCCAGCGGGAGCACCTGCCGGTCAGCCCTGAGAAAGGCTCCATTCCCAGAGAGGCCTCAGGGCCACCCCCTGCTCCGGCCTCAGCCTCCGCGTCCTGCCCTGCCCCGGACCTCTCCTCCCTGCTCACGGATCCCTCCAGGCCTTACTCCAGCATAACTGCTGTCTGCAGTGGGCTGAGGTGTGTCCCCACAAGGACACGTCCCAGTCCTAACCGCCCATACCTGTGCGTGTGACCTTATCTGGAAACAGGGTCTCTGCAGAAGTAATCAAGTGAAGAGGAGGTCAGCCTGGACTGGGGAGCCCTAAATCCAGTGACCGATGTCTCCATGAGAGAAAGGAGGGGAGATTTGGATACAGAGACAGAGGGAAGGCGGCACTGTGACGACGGAGGCAGAGACTGGAGTCAAGGAACGCCTGGAGCCGCCAGAGGCTGAAGAGGCAGGAAGGCTCCCAGCCTAGAGCCTTCAGAGGGAGCACGGCTCTGTCCATACCCTGATTTCGGACTTCTGGCCTCCATTACCATGAGAGAATGAATTCTGCTGTTTTAAGCCACCTGGTCTGTGGTACAATTGACCCTCCACATCCATGATTCCACATCTGTGGATTCAACCAACCACAGATCGAAAGGCCTATGATGGTTGCGAACACGCTGAACATGCACAGATGTTTTTGTCTTGTCATTATTCCCTAAACAATACAGTATAACAACTTTTTACACAGCATTGACATTGTATTAGGTATTATAAGTAATCTAGAGATGATTTAAAGTATACGGGAGGGGCCAGCCCCATGGCTTAGCGGTTAAGTGTGCGCGCTCTGCTGCTGGCAGCCCGGGTTCGGATCCCGGGTGCCCACCAACACACCGCTTCTCCGGCCATGCTGAGGCCGCGTCCCACATACAGCAGCTAGAAGGATGTGCAACTATGACATACAACTAACTACTGTGGCTTTGGGGGGATAAATAAATAAATAAAAGTTTAAAAATAAATAAATAAAAAATAAAAAAAATAAAGTATACGGGAGGATGTGCATAGGCTATATGCAAATACTGTGCCATTTTACATAAGGGACTTAAGCACCCACAGGGGGGCCTGGAACCGATCCCCCAGAGTCTGAGGGACAGCTGTACTTTGTTACGACAGCCCTGGCAGACTAACATACTTTCCCTGACCCCCAGACTCAGTCAGCTCCCCCAACTCTAATCCGAGCACCGAGTACTTTTCCACGTCACTGCTGACCACAGTTTAAAACTCTGTGTGGATCTGTGTTATCATTCCATTCGCCTCTGGCTCCCTCCATGAGGACTGAGGCTATAACTGGTCTGGAGGGAAGGCCCAGGAGAAGGCAGAATGGGGCACGGGAGCCAGGCTGTTCCCACAAGGCCTTCCAGGCGGGAGACAGGTCCCTGGCCCAGAGCCTCCTGCTCCAACCTCCTCCTGGGGGAACTTCAAGGCCCAATCACTTTCTATCCAACAAGTCTCCAGAGTTTCCTCTCCACAGGCAGAAGATGGGTGAGGTACTCTCCTCCAAGATGGCCCACGGTGCTCACCTCCTGGTATTCATGTCTCTGGGTAGACTCTCCCCACACTGAGCAGGGCTGACCTGTGTAATCGGCAGGATACTGTGGAAACGATGAAGCGGGACTTCTGAGGCTCTGGGGAAAGCCGGCTGCCATGTTGTGAGGACATTCAACCAGCCCTCTAGAGCAGTCTACTAGGCAAGGAACTGAGGCCTCCAGCCTCCAGCCACCAGCTTGCCAGCCCAGTGAGGGAGCCACCTGGAGGCAGATCCTGCAGCCCAGCTGACAGCCTGACTGCAACCTCAAGGAATTTGGGAGACCCTGAGCCAAAACTACTAAGCTAAGCCACTCCCAAATTCCTGACTCACAGAAACCGTGAGATCGTAAGGATTTACTGTTACAAACAGCTAAATTTTTAATATATTACTCAGCAAAAGACAATATAATGGGCTTCTGAAATCCAGTCTGGGTGATTTTTTCTCCCCTCCAGGCTCCTGATTCTAACATGTTTCCGTGGCCACCACCCTGGTCAAAGCCACCAGCATCCCTGCCTGGATTACTGCAATCCACTCCACCAGTCTCCCCACTCTCACCTAACCCCAAAGTCTGTTTCCACATCCCACTGCTCACAAACTCCTGATGGCTTCCCAATCATGCTAGAATAAGTTCCAAACGCCTCCCCATGGCCTGCAAGGCCCTGTTCAATGCAGACCCTGACAACTCCATTCATACCCCAGCGCCTTTGCACTTGCTGTTTCGTCTGCTTGTGAAGATCTTCCTCCAGAGCTCTGCCTTGATCCTTCACCTCATGTTTCCTTCTCAGCAAGGCCTTTTCTGATCATTCCCTTTTAAATTTACAAGCTCCACCCTTCCAGCCTGCCTGCCTACTCCCCTTCTCTGCTATATTCTCCCCACAGCACTCTTCACAACCTGATACTGTACTATGCACAGAAGGCCCCCACATCTCAGTGCAGTTTTAAGCTTTAATAACCTCAGAGGTATAAACGCTGCAAACTAAAACCTCTGGATTAAGAGGCAATGGATGAGTATTACTTTTTTTTTGCTTTAATTGTATTTTATATGTTGTCTTCAATTAACATGTACTATTTTATTTACTTATTTATTTTTAATGTGTATTATTTTAAAACAAGAAAAATTATTTTAAAAAGACTGGAGACAGGGGAGAAGGATGTGTGTTACAGCAGCGGTTGTACTATCACAAAACTAGAACCACGTTCTGGAAAAGCCACTGAACCGTACACTTCACAGCATGTGAATTATATCTCAATAAAGCTGTTATTAGGAACTGGAGGAACTTGAGTTTTCAGCTGGTAAATCATCAACAATATTTTTTTGGTATTAGATCTTTATGTGATCTTTATCTTTTTTTGGTACATAACTTGGAACTGGATGCTACTGCTATATCAAAGCCCTGTTCATTCCCATCTACTTATTCATGAACAAGCATTCTCAACTTGAAATGAAACACAGAACTAGAATGGACGCTGACCTGTCTCATTCCAGCAACAGGTTACACGCAGCTGTGACCACATGAATTCACTGGTGGAAAAAAGCAGCCCATCCACTTAAGAGGTCCACGTTCAATATCTTTTATTTACATTTGTTATTTATAAAAACTGTAATGTTGGTGTTGTTTTAACCAATTGGGTGTTTGTGATGGCCACTCAAACCAGAAGAAAAAGTCTCACTTTTTTTTTTTTTTTCATGAGGAAGAGGCTTAACTGCTAAGCCATGGGGCCGGCCCCTAAAACCCTAATTCCAATGTATGTATATATTTTGGCTGCAGAGACATACAATATGGTGATCACTAAAAGCCCTTTACACATAAGAAGCTGGAACCCTCCCACGCTCCTTGATAAGGAAGCGGACAAACAGACGGTGGCAGTCACAAGACGGGACAGCACAGCAGGTGAGAGGTCTGCGCCAGGCTCCGCAGAGCGGCACGGAGCAAACACAGGACTGTGGACACACATCACAAGGCAGCCCCCGGCTCACGACACAAACATGGGAAGGAAGCGCCGGGTGCAGACAGGGCAGGAGGAGACGTGTTGGGGGAGGCGCTGTTTGACAGCATGAAAAAAGTGACCCGTGGATTCTGAATGGAGGGCACTGGCTAAACTACTCTCTGCACTTTCCTATGTGTTTTTATTTTTTTTATTTTTTTTTTATTTTTTATTTTTTTGTGAGGAGATCAGCCCTGTGCTAACATCTGCCAATCCTCCTCTTTTTTTTTTTTGCTGAGGAAGACTGGCCCTGGGCTAACATCCGTGCCCATCTTCCTCCACTTTATATGGGACGCCGCCACAGCATGGCCTGACAAGCAGTGCGTCAGTGCACGCCCAGGATCCGAACCGGCGAACCCCAGGCCGCCACAGCGGAGCGCACGCACTTAACTGCTTGCACCACCGGGCCAGCCCCCTCCTATGTGTTTTTAAAATGTTCCCATTTTGGGGCCGGCCCGGTGGCGCATGTGGTTAAGCGCACGCGCTCCGCTACGGCGGCTGCCGGTTCGGATCCTGGGCATGCACCGATGCACCGCTTGTCGGGCCATGCTGTGGCCGCGTCCCATATGAAGTGGAGGAAGATGGGCACGGATGTTAGCCCAGGGCCAGTCTTCCTCAGCAAAAATAAGGGGAGGATTGGCTGATGTTAGCTCAGGGCCAATCTTCCTTACAAAAAAATAATAAAATAAAACGTTCACATTTTTTAAAAATGAACTTTTCAAGGAGGAACGTGTGCATCAGAGGGCACTGGCAGCCACTCCCACATGTGCACGTGTGCCTACAGGCGTATTGTGCATATGTGTATGTATGCAAGTGTGTATATGTGTGCATACAGATGTGTATGTGTTCGCGCATGTGTATGTTGTGCTTGTGTATGCAAATGTCTGTATGTGGGTATGGTATGTGTGTGTTATGCATATATGTGCGCATCTGTGTGTGCGCGCACACTTGAGGACCAAGAGCAGGCAGAGGTATGAAAAGGGAGGGAAGGAAAAGAGAAAGAAAAGGCGACTGAGGGGGAGAAAGAAAAAGGAAGACTCAAAGATGAAAAGAGAACCGAAACCTCCCTCCCAATCCCCCACACACCCCGCCCCCGGTTCTTCTCCCCTCTCCCATGGTGCCCCGGCCCGGTTTTCCCACAGAACCTATCAAGAGGGGACAAATCCTGCCCCTACTTTCCATGTGGGAAACTGAGCTCAGAGTCACGCAGCTGGTGACGGCGGAGCCCATGGTGTGTCTCAACCCCAGGCGGGGCGCCCCCCTCCCGCAGCACAGGGCACGGTGGTTAAGGGTCAGCCGTGTCATTGCCGGTCACAAAGGGCGGCTGTTCACACACAATGAGCCACACGCGAAGGCATTCCTATCAAAAATCCTTTTGGAGGGCCTGCCAGAGGACACGGGGTCCCGATTT